ATCCTCTGTTTCTTGTGGGCCTCAGGAATGTCCCATTCACTTAGTGCTTGCATGGCTTGGTCTAACCACTCTTCAAAGCCATCCTCCCCGGTAGGTATTGGTTGCCTACCTGAGAAGAATCGGAGCTTCCGATACATCCCTGTGTATGGAGAGGGGTCTTTGTGGCATTTTAACATGAAGTCCCCCAATGCAGTGAGGAATTCCGGGCCTATTGTGGCTAGAGGTGTCTGGAACAGGGGTTCTTCCCTCTCAGGTTTTGCACAACTAGGCCCTGGGGTGTTCAACTGAAGTAACTGGAGCCTTGTCCCATCCTCTATTTGGATATTGGCTCCTTGGAAACTGTCAGGGATCCCCCTTCTTCCACTCTAGCAGGGCATATGCCAGGGTGGTGTCTGAGGCGGGTGTCAGGCTCCGCCTAACGGGATCTCTAGTGGTCCACAGCACGGGGTTTCCCAGGACGCGGAGTCTAAGCCCCAGTCTGCCTTTTCACCAGGGCCCCTGATGGTGGGGATGGACTTGGTGCAAGACTGGAACCAGGTCGCGCCCCTGGGCACCCCCCCCGGCGGGTGGTAGAGGGGTCCCGCTGGGGGTATGTGCCCGGGATGAGCCTGCTGCGAAGGGGACGACAGGTCCGATCCGAGCGGATGGATGGGATGGCAGACTCCGATCCGAGCGGGATGGACGGATGCCAGATCCCGATCCGAGCGGGATGGATGGGTGACAGCTAGGAGCGAGCGAGGTCAGACTAGCCGGGTCGGTATCGTGTGGGCAGCGTGGTACAGGGGAAGTAAGCGGAGAATGGTCGGGGTCACAAGCCAGGATCAGCAGGTAGCGGGCAGCGCAGTACAGAGGGTCAGGCAGGAGGATGGTCAGGGACGAGCCGGGGTCAGAGCAGGAGAGGGTCAGCATAGGTCAGAACAGGCAGAGTTTGGCAACTAGGAAGCGTACTTACAGGTTCAGGAACAAGACCTTGCGGCAACCTGGAGATGCACAGGGCAGCTTTAAATAGAGCGCCCTGCTCTCCCATTGGTGCGGCCGCGATCGCTACTGCGCATGCATGCGCGGCCGCCGCCGCGATCGTCGGCCGGGACAGATCGGCCGTCTGCGCATGCGCGCACCGCCGAGGACCCGGGATCCCTGACATTGCCCCCCCCCCTACGGGCAACCTCCGGATGCCCAACCGAGCCCTACCGAATGGCCGGTTCTGAAAAAATTCCCGCACAAGTCTTGGGGCGTGCACATTTTGGGCCGGCTCCCATGAATTTTCCCTCCGCCCCATATCCTTTCCATTTAACCAGAAACTGAGTTCGGCCTCCCCTCTTCCTACAATCTAAGATAGCTTCAACTTCAAACTCCTCCTCCCCATCCACGTCTACTGCCTCCGGTGGTTTAGACCTTCGATCCGGGAAGGGATCTGGAGTTGCTGGTTTCAACAGGGACACGTGGAAGACCGGATGAACCTCATAGACTCGGGCAGTGCAAGCTCGTATGCCACCTCGTTGATCTTACGTTTTACACGAAAGGGCCCCAAGAATTTGGGAGCCAGTTTCTTCGAAGGGCAGGGCATTTTCAAATTTGCGGTGGACAACCAAACCTGGTCCTCTGGCTGCAAACTCAATTCCCCCCTTCTCTTCTTATCAAATGCCCTCTTATTGTCACCCTGGGCCTTTGCCATTGCTTCCTGCAATACCTTACTATTGGTTGACAAAAAGTTCAACATATCCTGCGTGGCCGGGACTGCGATCTCGCTACTGCGCATGCGCGGGCCGCCGCCGCGATCGTCGGCCGGGACAGATCGGCCGTCTGCGCATGCGCGCACCGCCGAGGACCCGGGATCCCTGACAGCGGGTATCACATCTATCACGCACGTTTTCTTCCCCTCTGTGGGTAGTGCATTCACTATCTTGTTAATCTGTTCTTCGGTCCCCTTTTCTCTGGGGAACTCGATCACTACACTCCGTTCTGGGCAAGCATTTTCCATGCTGCACCACTTGGTCGCGGCTGCGACGTCCATCTTAGGAGTTGGTATAGGGCACTGCTTGAGTGGTTGTTGGGTAATTGAGCAGCAAGTATCCCGGACGAGCCCCCACGTGTAGCACTGCCCCTTGGGACAAGCTGGAATATATTATGGGTCCTGCGCTTAATAGATCCAACCCTAAGCAAACCCAATCCCTCTGGCACAACTGGTAATGAATAGCAAATACCCCGCCAAGAAATTTGCTGACACAGGGTTAAATGAAACAAGAACAATTTTATGGAGAATGAAATGCAGTGTAGAGGGGTGGGGTTCCCCTTTCAACTTCAAAACTTACTTTTCTTCTTTTATGCAATGCAGTAAATTTGGTCTGCCACTAGAGGGCTTCACAGCCAAGAGTCTCCGGATGGCAGAGTCGCACTTTAAGCAGAATACAACTGATATCAAACAAATAAACTTACTTATGCTCTATCAATGAAATGTATTACCCCACACCGGGGTATGATTCTGCTTCTGAGGGGCGTTAGCCAAAAATCACCTCAGAGTCAGAACAGAATGCAATAAAGAGGTACCTCTAATAAAGCTACTAAGCCAGATTCCCCCACTTCAGTCCTTGTAACGGTGGAGCTCTAGTTGGTGCACGTTTAGTCCTTACAATGAAGTAAATAGCAGCTGAAGGCTTCTTTGGAGTTTCAGCTGGTGTGGGTTACATCCGATTTCACTAGGTTTCTGGGCTGAGAAGATCCAACCTCAGTGTCTAAACGCAACACAAAGCACCCCAAGACCAGGGGCAGTCGCAGGATGCAATCTCCCAGTATGTGTCAGTCCCCGGGGCAGACAGTCTCAATTACACTGGTGGTGAGGAGCAAAGCAGGCAGGGGGATCTGCGGCTTGCACAGGGCCCCAGATGGGTGAGATCCCAGCAGTGGGGTGCGGATGTCCCAGTCTATATGCAAAGTGTAAATGGTGTGTCTTACTCTCTCCAGGGGGACAGCTCACCAGACTCTGAACACACAGCAGGGTCCCTCTATCCGCACTGAGTGCTGTAGTGCCTCCTCCTCTGCTTGGACGGGCTCCACATGTCCCTGTCTTTTCTCCAGCCTCGTGTCTCTCTGTTCTCCTCTTCACTTCCTGCTTCCTCCCCTTCCCTGCATTCTTTGCTGTGTAGTGGATGAGTCATCCACTTGGCAGAATGCCCAGGTTTTACAAATAGGGGAGAGAGAGGAAGGACCGACTGCTGAACATGTGATTCCTTCTGAATCCTCTTGTACAAGGAGCCTGCTACAGGGGGTATTTGGTGTATTGGCTGTCCAGTTTTTTCTATGAGCTGCCTAATGCAATGCAAGTTAATAATGCGGTATTACTATCACCACTAAAAGACAGCTTCCAACTGCCCACCTGATGGCTTGTTTTATATTTTAAAGAAGCTGGTGACCATCCCAGATAATGTAATTGACCAAAAGTGGTCATGACCATATTTGTTCAATGGTATCAGCCAGCATCGCCAACTGGGGGAGCTCTCATTTTCAGCAAGAGTACAGCAGGAGAGGAAAGTAAGCATGGATCATTGTGTTTGCGTTGGCAGTGTCATGCATTGTGATGCAGAATGGATCTACATTATTGGACAACATTGGATTTACATTGCAGGGCTTTTTTTCTAATAAACTACATTTCCATTAGTGTATGTGTTTTATTTACTATTTACATTTTAATTAAGAAGGAGTAGTGATGTGGGGATGAGGCCCTTGTCTCCATCAACATAGGGATAAGGTGCCTTGCCAGGGGGTCCTGTGCCAAAATTGAGGTTTGATGAACCACAACCTGAGCAAAGAGATGGAGAGTTGCACTGAGCACAGAGCATTAAGCAAGCTTTACTGTGCCCAGATTATAATTGGAGAGGTTGTAAACCCCCATTAGCATAGGCCTTAATACAGTAGTTTAACACAACAGATAAAAAAAACAGATGGAAATGTGTAGTACTTTAGCTTTCAGAAGTCTATTAACCACCTTCCGCCCGCCCTAAAGTACAATGACAGACGCAAGGTGGTTCTCTCATTCTGATAGGACGTCATATGACGTCCTACCATTCTCACTGCGCAGGCGCGGCTCAGGGAGTGCGCAGCGCGGTGATCGCCGGTGCGCTGTGTCTCTCGGACACAGCGGATCATGGAAAGAGCCATAGATGTTGGCTCGGTCATGTGATCAGCTGTGTCCAATCACAGCTGATCACATGTAAACACGGAAATGCCGGTTATCGGCATTTCTCTCCTCTCGAGCTGTTACGCTGACAGCTCAAGAGGAGAGGAGAGCCGGTAATCGGCTTTCCGCGGAGGGGACATGTGCACTGATAATCAGGGCAATGATGATCAGTGTGCCCTGATGATCAGTGTGGCCCCAGAAGTGCCACCTGTCAGTGCTCATCAGTGCCACGTGCCAGTGCCCATCAGTGCCAAGTGCCAGTGCCCATCAGTGCCACATCAATGCCACATATCAGTGCCAGTCAGTGCCACCTATCAATGCCAATCAGTGCCACCTATCAGTGCTGACAATCAGTGCCACCTATGAGTGCCAGTCAGTGTCACCTATCAGTGCGCATCAGTGCCAGTCAGTACCACCTATCAGTGTCAGTCAGTGCCGCCTAACAGTGCCAGTCAGTGCTGCCTATCGGTGCCATATATCAGTGTCATGTATCAGTGCTGCCTTTCAGTGCCCATCAGTGATGCCTGTCAATGCCCATCAGTGCAGCCTACCAGTGCCTCCTCATCAGTGCCCATCAGTGCCACCTATCAGTGTCCATCAGTGCAGCCTATCAGTGCCCATCACTGCAGCCTCATTAGCGCACATCAGTGAAGGAGAAAAATCACTTATTTACAACATTGTATAACAAAAACTAAGAAAAAACTTTTTTTTTTCAAAATTTTCTGTGGTTTTTGGTTTGTTTAAGAAAAAATAAAAATCCCAGAGGTGATTAAATACCACCAAAAGAAAGCTCTATCTGTCTCAAAAAAAAAAATGATAAAAATTTCATATGGATACAGTGTTGCATGACCGCGCAATTGTCATTCAAAGTGTGACAGCTCTGAAAGCTGGAAATTGGCCTGGGCAGGAAGGGGGTATAAGTGCCCTGTAGGCTAGTGGTTAATGCTCCATAAATCCTGATATAATTCAGTTACATTCAGTACAAATAACTACCCAAATGTATAAGTAAATCACAATTGATTTAATACAACACATGGCTATACTATAATGCAGCCTTTTTCAATCTTGAGGTTTTTTTCAGGAATGCCTTGGCAAAATGTCTAAACATTGCCCAAAACTTGTATACAAGCCAGCGGGTGGAACAAGTCTAACTTTTAGTTATGCAAAGCCACAGGTTTTTATTGTGGACCATTACGACCTTCTAGCCGCCAGCATCCTGACAACCAATGACATCGTCAGTTGAGGATGTCGGTTGCCTGTTCAGCAACCTTGTTTGCCCGTACCCTGCCCCTCTCTGTCAGTGCAGGGGTCTCATCGGCTCAGTGATGGAGAAAAACTGAGGGACAAGAGAAACATTGGGATACTAGTCAGTACCAGTGTGCAAAATTGTATTTGCTTTGGAAGATCAAAAAATATCACCTCTAACGATAGGTGTCCTACATGTATGGATGTTGCTGAGTTATATAAAACAATTATAATAGTTTTTTTTACATTTTAGAGTGGGTGCCTCAAGACTGTCCATAGTTTTATAGGGTGCCTTGACTAAAAAAGGTTTAGAAACACTGCTATAATGTACAGCAGGTGAATTAGTCACATTACATCTCCTATAATTTTATATACCATCTAGTTGCTATCAAAACATGATTTTGTTCTATGAAAGAATATTTTGGAGGTTGAACTGTAAAAGATAGACATTTGGAAATTTGGATACAGCTAGAAAAAAACTGGTCATTGAACTATCATAAAACATTTTGACAACCCCCTCAACACACTCCTCAGCTATGAGGAATGATTACGTAGATTACAGTTATTCACTCTGGCAAAAGGCAGAGAGGATATGATTTCAATATACAAATATCAAAGGTGAGTTTGGTACCTGTAATAAACTGTTTACTCTGAAGAGGACACTTAGCCATGGCTTGAAGTTAGAAGAAAGGTTGTTTAATCTCAGATTGTGGATAGAGATATGCATGATGAAAAAATTTGTTTCACTTCCGATTTGTCATTTAGTCATTATTTTTTTCGAAAGTCATTTCAAATATACAAATTTGTTTCATATTTTCATTGTTCTGAATTGATTCAAATTTTCAGAATTTATTTCGGAAGATTTGGTTTACTTTGTTATGTTTCCAGTGTGACTTTGCATTTCAACTGGCTTGTGACTTGCTTGTGACTTCAGTGCCACTTGCTTGCAATTTCCTTGCAACTTTGATGAGACTGATGCCTTGTGACTTGCTTGCATTTTCGACACGACTTGCTTGCAACTTTGATGTCATTTCGACTTGCTTGTCATTTCGATGCGACTTGTTTGCAATTTAGATGTGACTTGTATGCCTTGCAATTTATATAAAAGGTAAGGATCAGTGAGCACTCAAAAATAGCTGCTATTGCACACTAAGCTAACCAGATAAAACCTCAATAAACTTATAAACTAAAAGGTGCAGCGCTAAAATTAAATTATGTCCGTTGAAATAGGTATAAATGAATATATCATAAAATAAAGATAAAATATTCATAAAGTGACAGTTCGTGCTAGGGTTCCAATCACAGCTGTAGATTTCAATATTCAGTGATGTGCCCAAAAGTGTGGTAAAAATACGCACTCACCAGATGCGTATTATATGCATGTATTATGTATAATAACTTTGTGTGTCCACTAACTTCTGGGTTAATTTCTTAGGGTCAATATTAGTTGAGGCAAAAATATCTGAGGATAAGAATGCCTAGTCCTTTCCCCCCTCCTGCTTGTACCAGGCCAGTGGCTGGGGTGGCTCCCCGTCTGCAGGGACCTCGTATTCGGGAACAAGGTTCGGGTTAGCTCCCGCAGTCCGGGTGATCTCCCAGGAGGAGAGTGTCGGCTGTTCCCAAATACTAGGTCCCTGCAGACGGGGAGCCGACCCAGCCACTGGCCTAGAACGAGCAGGAGGGGGGAAAGTACTGGGCATTTGTATCCTCAGATATTTTTGTCTCAACTAAGATTGACCCTAAGAAATTAACCCAGAAGTTAGAAGTGGACACCCAAAGTTTGGCATCGGTTAAAAAATCTCCCTGCTGAGCTAATTAATTTACAAAGCCCACCCTAGAAGTTAGCTGCAGTATCCCACAGGACCCAGAGGAGGGAGTTTCCATCTCAGGCTGCATACACCTATCCATCCTTAAAGGGGACCTCTGACAGGAATAGTTCCTTGAGTATCCAGGAGATATCCGTTGGGCTGTACACCATTCAGAGGGAAGAGATTCTGTACCCAGCTTACCTCATCCATCCTTAAAGGGGACCTCTGATTATACATAATACATGTGTATTTATAATACGCATCTGGTGAGTGCGTATTTTTACCACACTTTTGGGCACATCACTGAATATTGAAGTAATCTACAGCTGTGATTGGCACCATAGCACGAACTGTCACTTTATGAACATTTTATCTTTATTTTATGATATATTCATTTATACCTATTTCAACTGACATAATTTAATTTTAGCTCTGCACCTTTTAGTTCATATGCCTTGCAACTTGCTTGTGTTTTTAATGTTTTGCGAGTGTGACACATATTACTGAGCTTACTAAACCCTCTGAAGCTGCAAACTAATGAGATTAATTAATAAAAATTAATTTGTTGTTTTCGTTATAACTTTTTTTGGATTTGTTGAAATTCGTTACTGATGTGATTCGAAGATTTAGACACATCTACATCTCCGAATAATGACAATTTTGTCTGAATTTCGATAACATTCGGAACAAAATGTATCATACATGTCTAATTGCAGATTTCTTTGTGGATTTTTTACTGTTAGAGTTGTTAAAAGGTTTAACTCCCTCCCCCAGGAAGTGGTACTAGCCAAGAATGTTGATAACTTCAAAAACCTTTAGATGTGTAGTACCCTCTAGTGTGCTACAAGTGTTAGTGGAGGTAAATGTATAATGTTATGACTCATGGTAACTGCATAAGTCTGTAATGAGGTCGGGTTACTGCAGGTCAGTCTAGGTGACTCAGGATGTTGTGACTCTATCACCTCCACCTGGTTCTGGATGACTATTGAAGCTTCCAGAAGCCAGTGGGAAGGAAGGGTGAAGACCTAAATCTGCATGTTTATGGGAGTCTGGCCAATCCCAGGTTTGGAGGCCCTGGTATTGTTGTAAGGCTAACACATAAATTTGAGAGAGCCATCCTAGCAGAGGAGCTGGATGGAAGATTAAATGTTTAGGAGGCTATCGGTGGCCTGGGAGGGGACCTCTAGGTCGAGGGGGGCTTTGCCTCCAGGCTGGGCTCAGACTGGCTCAGGAAGATCCATTCAGCTTCATGGTATGAATAGGATCATTGCTTGGGAGCAGTGAGAGCAAGGAGAACAGAGTGAGTACATCAGCACACCCTGGAATTCACAAGGGGAGAGATGCCACATGTAGCAAGCTTTCAAAGGACAGTGCTTTGCTTAATCCTTTATCCTTGTCCTGAGAGATCTTCAGAGCAGCCAAGAGGGCTGGTAGTGTCTGCAGGCTGTGGAGCTGGGAGCAGTTCTTCAGAAGAGAGGAGATACATCTGCATGTACAGTAGATCTAGGCAGGAAGAACATACAGGATATTTTTCTGTAAATAGGAAGGAAGTTGTCACCATGCATTGATTCAGCCAAGTTGGGCATCCCATAATCCCTATCACCCCATCCAAGTTATTTCCCCTGATAAAAACCAGGCTCATGACAGTGTTCTTTGGCCCTACTTGTTCTCTTTGCTACAGAAAATGGGCTTCAGTGATGGGTTTTTGGCAGGCATACATGCCCTATACGACTCTCCTAAAACAAGAATAAGGCTTCCTGGCTGTAACTCTGACTTTTTTACATTGGGTAGAGGTACCCGTCAGGGTTGTCCTCTTTCGCCCCTTTTGTTTGCGCTGGTGTTGGAACCTTTGGCATTGGCGATCAAATCACATTCGGATATTTCTGGCTATTCGTTATTAGTTTCACATTTTAAGCTGAGCATGTATGCTGATGATGTTATGCTTTTTATTACTAACCCGTTGACTTCTTTGCCTAATTTGTGTGTCGTATTGATTTTGCTAAAGTGTCAGGTCTCACCGTTAATTTTACCAAATCGGTAATTATGCCTGTTAATGTTCCTGACTCCCTAAGTGCATCTCTCCGTAGTTCTTTTCCATTTCGCTGGGTCAAGGACAGGATATCCTATTTGGGGATTAATCTTGCTCCCAGATACTCGGATATGTTTACGGCTAATTATCCATCATGTGTGTCACGTCTCTCTACTCTACTGAAGATTTGGCATGGTTATCATATCTCCTTTCTGGGTAGAGTCACGGCGGTTAAAATGAATATCTTGCCCAAACTGCTTTATCTTTTTAGAGCACTTCCAGTTCCGGTTTCAAAAACGTTTTTGGATCATTTTCAGCGGATTATTAACAATTTTATTTGGGGAAATAAGCATCCACGTTT